GGAGGGGGGGAGGGGGGGGGGGGTTGGGGCGTGGGGGTCAGAGTGAGGGGATAGATCATGGATTTAACAACAAGTAAGGTCACCTTGAGCGGGACGGTTTTCGTAGATGGATTAGCATATGAACTATGATTCTCTTTAAGTAGAAAATAAAGATCCACGATGTTCGACCTGGTAGGAGTGTGTAATCAAACCGCACAGCATTGGTCTTTGATTGACTGTGGCGTCAAAACAAACTCATTCATGTTCTTGATCTGAATGTTCATCTTAATTGTTATGGAAGGTCACGGAGCCGTGATCCAGAGAACAGGGTGTCATGAGATAAAAATGAAGTAAAAATGGGATTACCAGAAAAACGGGGTATAACACCCAACCCAATAAGCTTCACTCAGGAACACCAGAGTAAGTCAGTACAAGATTGAAAACTGCCCAGTAAGTAAGTACACATGTATGACAGGCTAGTCGGGTATTGCTACTTGTATATGTGAAAACAAAGTTATTAAAATGAATAGCAACACTGATGAAAGTTACCAATAAACGTGTATAAGTGTTATATCGTCACTGCAAAAATAATGAGTGTTTGTCTTAAGTATTAACATTCAAATACGTGATATCTCTATTAGCGATATTGTCTACGTTCTACCGGTGAGAAAGCGTTAGGCTTACTATCTCGTAGTATAAATGTCCAGTTTGGAATTTGAAACTAATCTGTTTACAGTAACAGGGCACTGCTTAAGTGTCATGTACAAATCAAAAAGTGGAATCCCGTCAATTAGGCGGACGAACCTTAAAACTATTAATAAACATTGAAATTAGCAATATCGGATAAATGTATATGCATATAATATCTGGCAATATACACCAAGATCACCTTCTACAAAAATAAGTTTTAAAAGCCGGTTGATATTCGTTTGCGTATTTGACGATTATATAACTTTCGAAAGTATTAATCATTTTCCTATACTCAGACGTTCCTGAGCCTTGCGCTTTCCTAATTATTTTGACTAAATTATTACCGTTATCATTGTATTAGTTAATGGGAAATGCGTGCCGATCAAGTACGTGCCATAAATTAAAACGACATTGTACGATTCCGAACTTATCACGAGACTGTGTTTATGAATCATTGTCAAAAAGTGGTGACATGGCCTCAGACCACAATTAATTTCCTTCTTTGCTATCTACAGTGACATGATAGCCCACCATAATTATTATCAGTCGTAGGCTGATCTTCCTGTTGCATGCGGACCAACCTGCCACTTGTCACTTAAAACGCAAAGTTTCGGCCAGCATCCACCACCTTGCTATCGCAGTAACCACTGTCAACAATGCTCACCGGAAGTTTCGAGCCGAAACACACACAGCGGCCTTCAACTTGGGGTCAAATCATGGGAAGCTGGAATCAATACCTTCACAGATTGGGGCTAACAAAAAATTGACAGCAAACTACAATGTCTTATCTTTCATTTAAGCTATCACAAGTCACTCCAAAAAAATTGCCACAGGCTGAACAGCCCATTTCAACAGGGTACTATATTCTCCTATTTTCCTTCCGGTTCATGGTAAAACTTAGGGGGGATAACTGTGGTCTGAGGCCTATTAGGACAGTAAAAAGTATGCAATTCAAATACAACTTCATCAATACTAAGCCCATACACTGTTGAAGGCTCACAGAAAATTTGGAATCCCTAACTCATACACAGCTTGACTTATAGTCATTTGAAATCATGCTGCATCCATAGCACTTGAGAGTACATTTTTGGCATGAATTCATTTCAAATGCAATTCTAATTTGACCATAACTCCATAACCAAAAGGAAATTGACAAAACAAGCAAGTGTTCCTGTCTCGTCATTACATATAATATCAACAAACATCAATTTCAGTCTGGTATATCAATTCTTTTTTGGGGGCCTATTTTTAGGTACATGCATGCATTTTTTAACAAAAAAATTGAATTAAAGTTCATATTTTTCAACAAAAAAGAAAATTGAAACTGTTAAATTTTTATTCAGATGAAAGCCCTGTCTTTACTCATTAAAATGATTGGTAGGACAGGTAGCTGTGTACAGCCAATCAAGTGCAGCGAGTCACCAGGTGTGACCACTCTCAGCTGACACTCGGCCAATACACGCCAAGGTGTCAAACTGCGTGTACAGCTCAACTGCAATTTGGACTGCTGGCACAAGACATATGTATGTCTCGAGAGTTTCTAATACATTTACACGCTTGTCATTGCCATTGACATTACACAGTGATGCGGTATATAGGTACATCTTGTGCTCAGAACACATGGAGGTCAATTGATCTCACAATTGCCACCAAAAACCTCGCCTCACATTGCCAATGGCAAGTCCATGACGACACTTGGGGAAGCGATCACCTTTCTATACTCACCTACATAGGTAGCCCACCACAATTAGAGGAACAGCCCAATCCTCAGCCCACATGGGACTATGCAAAGGCTGACTGGCCTAAATTCAGGAAGGAATGTATATCATTCAAATCCTCAGAAATTGCCTCGGATGATCCTGGCCCCGAGGTTATAAAACTTCCCTGAGTACGATTTCATGCTCAAATCCGGGTTCGTGCTCAACTCAAAACGGAGGTTATAAATAATCTGAGTACGTTTTCGTGCTCAACTTGAGCATGAAATCCGTACGATCTCAAGTACGCTTTGGACCGTGCTCAACGCTGAGTTCGACAACAACAATGGCAGCTCACCTGCAACAGACGCGACAAGCGAGGCGGAACACCCGTGTTCCGAGAGTCTTTCGAGATCATTCTAACCCGCTGGAAGATTTAGATGTCGAAGAAGTTTTTGACCGTTACAGATTTAGGCCAAATACTATAACATATTTACTTGGCCTACTCGATCTGACCTGAGAGACAGCTCGTAACTGTGCGATTCCACCACTGTTACAGTTGCTGGTATGCCTTCGTTTTTTGGCGACAGGCGCTATGCATCTGCTGGTTGGGGACAGCCTAAACATTTCCCGATCTACAGCCGGCAGATGCATACGTGCAGTTTCGTTGCAAATCTCCAAACTTTCAGGAAGGTTTATTAAATTCCCAGTTGGAGGAGACGCCGTACGAGCGAAGGAGGCATTCGGCAACATTGCAGGTACGTACATGGGATTTTCCCAATGTAAACACAAATAAATGATTTCATTGGTGTGATTCGCGTCAGTGCCATTTTGATTGGTCAGTAAAAAGAAAATGGGTCAGAGGTCGAGGTCATGTATAAAAATAAAATAAAATTATAATCAAGCGATAGATCTTAGGATGGGCTGTAAATGAAACAAGTAAACAGTGCCCAGTGCAGTATGCTATCTATTGTGACACGTTTTACTTACAGGATTCCCTAACGTAGTAGGGTGCATTGATGGAACGTTCATCCGGATACAGCGGCCTACCACGAACGAGGGAGACTTCGTGAACCGGAAAGGTTACCATTCCCTGAATGTACAGGTAAATAGGCATAATTGTACTCCATAACTATTCGTTATAATGTATGTGTTGGTTTAGGGGTGGGGAGATGTATGACTTTTGTAATTCTTATGTATGTATTGTAAATTGGAGTTTAAATTTCTGAATGCTATCCCACAGATGTGCTGTGATGCAAATTTCTGCATCACAAGTTGCAACGCCAGCTGGCCGGGATCGGTGCATGACAGCCGCATTTTCCGGACGTCAGCACTGTGCAGGCAATTTGAAAATGGTAAGACACGTTTTTAGAACAATTTGGTGAAAGTATTCTGCAAGTGAACAAGCATATAGTTTATCCTGTTACAAATAATAATAAGTTAAGATGTAAATTTAAATCAATATGCAGACATTTTTGTATGACATCTCATTGAATTGAAGTGACATACAAAGGGCAATTGCTTTGAAACCCTGGATAGACATGGCATAAAATCTCAGAATCTCCATACCTATTTTAATTAATAAATTAGATTGGATTCATATCCTCATTTTCATTTTTTTTTTCTCACAAGTTATTTTTTAACTAAACAATTCCATTAATTAGGATGAATGTATTTGTTCCTGGGAAAAGGTTTATTTCATTCATCATGTTATAAATATTGAAATATTTCAATTCTTAATGAGACAAATTTTATTCATACATTATATGTACTTTTTACCAGTATTCAAATCATAAAACAATCTGTTATTCTTTCAATAATATATAACCTTATTTTATTATGTTTAAGGACAGTACAAAGGTTTTCTGCTGGGGGACTCTGGCTACCCATGTCGTTGGTTCCTCCTGACGCCTCTACAGAACCCCACCAACCGTGCAGAGGAACGCCACAATGGGTCATTGTGCAGGACAAGAGTGCTCATTGAGCAGACCTTTGGTGTCCTGAAACGGCGGTTTCAGTGCCTGCACAATGAGCTCAGGGCGACCCCAAGACAGGCTGTGACCTATGTTGTTGCATGTGTTGTGTTGCATAATTTGGGTATTGAAAGGGGGGATATTATAAATCATGATGAAAATCTAATGCCTCCATCTTCAAATGTGAATAATTATGTGCCACTGGTTACAGGTCCAAATGATGGAGCTGATGTGAGACGGCACATTATTCAAACATTTTTTAGTCGATAAGCATAGGAACATTTATTCACTACAATTTAATCTATCTGAATTTGTGATTTCAAATGTATATCATCTTAATTAATGATTGTGTGAGTGGTATTGCTCAGTAAGTCAGATATGTCATGACAGTTAGACTTGAATACATAATCAATTAGGTCATTCAATGTTTTATTCAGATACAAGCAGTGCACAAAATGGAACAATATTTAATTTGTATAGTCTGGCCATGCCAACAGTGCAGATTTATTTGTTGTTTAACTCCTTACTAAGCAATATTCCAGCTATATGACGGAGGACTGTAAAATAATCGAGTCTGGACCAGACAATCCAGTGATTGATATCATGAGCATCGATCCAAGCAATTGGGATCGATGACATGTATCAACCAAGTCAGTGAGCCTGACCACCCGATCCCGTTTGCCGCCTTTTACGGCAAGTAAAGTGGGAAAATGTTATAATATAAAGCACATACTACGGTAGAAACTACCATTTTTAGTCCACAAGTCCTTACAATGATAACATATAGCAAAAACCTGAAAAATGGCAAATGTCTACAAGTTCTTTCATACATTGACAAGTGGACACTTTGGCACGAACTGCAGGACTAGTTCAAATTTCTAACATTGCACATTGTGACAGAGCACTTCAATTCATATTTGTTTCTTAATTTCTAAATTTGAACAAGATAAAGAGTTAGCTGGAATAAAATGTTGTCATTTGTTGTGAGTAAAGATACAGAACTTATGCATGTTAGGATATTCATAATAGTCTGTATGAAGGACAAATATCTTGACCTAATTTTGGTATCAGCTGGACAAATGAAAAGTGCATGGTATTCATCATCTAGGTCTACACAAATTGCATAAACTATAAGTAAAGTCATGATCACTAGACATTCTATATTTATGTCTTTCTGTTGGCACATCATACTTGCATAAATGCTGAACTATCATCACAATGTTAGAGTTACATGCTTTAAAATGATCTTACTTAAGAGCACATAACAAAAAAAATCAGGATTTTGGGAGCAATTGCATATGTAATGAATAGTGATAAAACAATACAGACAGAGTTGATATTGTGTAACAATATTTCTTTGAATTATCATTAACTATTGTATCTGTCAAATTCAAATGATCATGTCCAAGCAAATCAGTAAATGTTGTTGTCATTCGTATTGCATTTCTACATAACTCTCTTTAGTAATTTTGATAATAATTATTCTTCAGTTGGACATGATTCGACAAGAGAAACACCAAATTCCGCATTCATTTTTAGTTGGTAGTAGACTGATTTCCTCTGCAGCATTTGAATTTCAATGTCTAATTTCTTTTGATTTTTTTCTAACACTTCAATTTCCAGTTTCAGCTTCCTTTGTTCAAGTTTGATCCTTTCCGTGTCCTGTATCGTGTTGTCATATGTTGCCTCAGCTTGTGTTCTTTTTCGTTTGCGGACGGTCTTTTTGTCTGTAAACATAATGAGACTGACTTGTCACATTTTAGAAACATGAATTGTGTACTCTGCATTATCTTTGGGAGTATAGTATTGTTGATAGCATTATGGGTGTTAGTGTGACAAGACAGTGAATATAATGAGACTGACTTGTGTACTCTGCATTATCTTTGGGAGTATAGTATTGTTGATAGCATTATGGGTGTTAGTGTGACAAGACAGTGAATATAATGAGACTGACTTGTGTACTCTGCATTATCTTTGGGAGTATAGTATTGTTGATAGCATTATGGGTGTTAGTGTGACAAGACAGTGAATATAATGAGACTGACTTGTGTACTCTGCATCATCTTTGGGAGTATAGTATTGTTGATAGCATTATGGGTGTTAGTGTGACTGAAATATAATTAGAATATATTTCCTGTCTCTTAGTATTTTCAGCTTGTGACAAGACAGTGAATGTATTGTTTGGGGTAATACATGTATTAGCATCTTGCTATGAGTATTTTCATTTCTATGCTTTCAATAAATCATACAAAGGTCATAGTTTATTAGTAGTAGTATTATACTAGTATTATACTAGTATTATAGAAGGATTATGCAAACATAAATTTGATCTGTAACTGCAATCTTGAATATACTGAAATAAACTCTGAAAATGTTCATTATTTAGTATAGTAATATGTTCTACAGATATTACTCAGATCCTTCTGATGTACCTTCTGCTGGGATGTCTTGCTCATCAATGTGATGTGCTTCACCTTGCAGACCTGTAAATAAGGGGATACAATTTTTAACATTGAACAAATGCAAAAAATTATTGTATCATTTTCTTACATTTATATATTTAAGCATTCAATAAAGTCACAAAATAAAGTTATACTTTAATGTTATTAATTGAGAATAATTACATTGATTGTATACAATGTGTCAGCTCAGACAATAATGTAATGACAGGAATAGCAAACTATGCTCTACAATACATGTTGGAAATTTTGGTATTATGTTCAAGACATGACCTATATAAGGGAGACAACCCACAGACTGAGAGTAATTAGATATATGTCCCATGTTATAGATGTGATTATGTATAATAATACATGTTAATAGTATTCAGACATATGATGATATGTATTACCTTCTGGTGAAGCGGCAGCTACATCGCCATCATGAATGACTGAAGTGAACAGAATATTAAAATACAGTAATGCAGCTATTTTAATAATTTTCAGGTTAGAATTGACAAAACCAATTGCATTTGTGACTGAAATTGTGATGAGTGATTAATTTGATTATATGACAAATATTAATCATTATTTGAATGATTTCGTACAAGTGCAATTCACAACAAATGTATTCATTACTTTGATCACAGGCATAAAAAAGTTGTTGTCTGAAATTTTTGTTGTTGTTTCCTTTGTCTTTTGACAGTACTTGATTTGTTTGTACCATATTTGATAAGTATTTTTGTCATCCAAATACATTGTCCCAGGTCATAGGTCTCACCATAACCAACATTAATGAGAAATAGCTGGCTTTAAAATTTACATTAATCTTTTACATATTGAACTGCCCATACCATCAGTGTCAATGCCATGTTCTAGGCCATGAATACTTGGCCTCCCCTCCAAAGACTGACAAAGGACCTCGTCCGCGTTGGACAGTGCTGGGAGTGGAGGCCCTCCTCCAGTTGTGGCCATTGACCTTTTGAGGCCGTCGATCTTGCTTTTAGCTACAATACAAACTTGCAGTTTAGTTCAGTAACAATAACATATATATTGAAATATTAAATTTGGGTTTCATTGACATGTGTTCATGTGTTATTGAGGGATAAACATGTGTTTCATCAATTATATAATAACCATTTAATACATTATGATGGAGTAACAAGGTTGACACAATATGCCTCTTAGTATTTTTCTAATATAAAAGAGTACCTCTTTGTTTCAAATTGAAGTACTTCTTCTTCACTTCAATAGCCTCCCTTTTGGCATTGATGTGTCTTCTGAAAGTATATAAAAGAAGAGATATAATTTGAAAATTAATATACAGAACATGTTTTCTTCTTCACAGTCAAGGAACTGTGGAGGGGAAAGCCCATGAAACTACATGTCTCCATTTAGATTACCGGTATATACAATAAAGTTAATGCAACGAAGAATCACATTTCCGACTGTTTACTTATGCAAATCTGCATGGGCACCACATTTCAACGCATGATCGAATACAGGACTCGTTGCGATATGTCACGCCTACGCCTGAGAACTTTATAACTTAATTACCCCAACCTCCACTCGAAATTGGTTTGAAAAGAATCCACTAAAACTGTTTGGAGGATGTCCCTTGACCTTGACCCTAAACACAGCCCCCCCCCCCCTTTCTTTTTTACTCGCTTATGACAGGTATACTTTGTTTTACCGAACACATTAAAAAAATCAGCATCGATCAATCCTGTGTCATAAAAGTTGAATGAACACTTTGCGCAAGACGTATTTATAACTTAACTACCGCGATGATATAGCGTACCATGCTGGAAATGATATTAAACAACAATAACATATGAACAACTTACGTGTTACAGGATATCCGTGATGCTTTGCCATCCATCGGTCCGCTGTCGATGGATGGACTTCACACCGCTTCCCTTTATTTCGCCGAACAACAGTTGCTCTCGCTGAACGACTTCCTGGATGAGACAAACCTCCTCCGCTTCTGACCACCCCTTACCCCGCCTTCTCGATTCGGTCACGCCCTCCGTTGCCATTGTAAATAAGCAGACGACAACATCCGGGTTGTTTTCTTACCATTCTTGACTGAAGAGTTCCAAATTGCCGCTTATATCATAAACAAAGATTCCTTTGAGCATGCTCAAGCCGAGCGTGAGTTGTTCTCAGCTGAGTACAGACTCAAGATGTTTTATAACCTCTGCTTGAGTACAAATCTCAACTGAGTACGAACTTGAGCATGAGCATGAGCATGTATTTGAGCACGAAACTCAGTTGAGCAAGAAATTTTTTTTATAACCTCGGGCCCTGATCTTTTTTGCCAAAATCTCACTTCAGCAATTATTGCCGCAGCTGAAAAATCAATTCCAAAAAAAGACCACAAAACTGGCAAAACGCTGGTACCATGGTGGAACAGGGAAATAGCAAAAGCTAGGAGAGTGAGAAAGAAAGCCCTAAATAGGTCAAAAAGGGATAAATCAGCCTTTGTCCAAGTCCGAGCAGCCAGGACGAAAGTAAGACAACTCATAGACGATTCTAAAAAAGAGTCATGGCAGACCTTCTGCAAATCCCTTAATGAGAAAACAAATGCTAAAACAGTCTGGAGCAAAATACACGCAATCAGGGGTAAGCGTAAACCCACAAAAATTCCCAAGTTAGCCAACGCCCATACAGTCAAAGAAAAGGCCAACATTCTAGCTGAGCACTTCTCATCTGTTAGCAGCAACACAAATTGCAGTGAAGAATTCAAACAGTAGAAAATGCTTATGCCTAAGATCTCAAAACGGCCGCAAAGCAAGCATCTGGCATACAATATACCATTTACTGTGACAGAGTTTGATGATGCGATACAGCATAGAAAAGGCACAGCACCTGGTCTTGACACAACCAGCTACGAGATATTGAAAAACCTACCTGATCAAACCAAAGGCTTACTCACTGAGTTGTATTTGTATAACAAGATATGGTCCAAAGGAGAAGTCCCAAAAGCATGGAAACATGCTGCAGTTATCCCGCTGCTAAAGCAAGGGAAAGACGAAGCCCTACCAAACTCTTATCGACCGATCTCACTCACCTCAAACATGTGCAAAGCCATGGAAGCCATGGCTACGAAAAGGCTCATGCATCATCTTGAAACTGGCAACCACATAAAACCTGACCAAAGTGGCTTCAGGAAGCGACACTCGTGTCTAGATCATATTCTAAGACTGGAAAATGAAATAAAAAAAGCCCAATTAAACAGACAATACCTAGCCGCAGTATTTCTGGACTTCAGCAAAGCCTTCGACATGGTATGGCATGACGGACTCCTCTCAAAACTATCACAAAATGGTGTTGAAGGGAACATGGCAAACTTCATAGACAGCTTCCTGCAAGACAGGTCGCTATCAGTTAAAATGGGGAACAATCGATCGGATCCTATGGCAATGGACAATGGCACGCCACATGCCAGCATTATAAGCCCAACCCTGTTTAATATCATGATCAATGATCTTTTTGACCATGTCAACTCTCCTACCCAAACGTCTAAGTTTGCTGATGACGGAGCAATACGGGTAAAGCACAGAGATATCTCACAAATCAGAAAAATACTCCAGTCAGCCCTGGACGGAGTAGATCAATGGTGCAATAAATGGGGATTCACCCTTTCAAGTGAAAAAACTGTTGGAGTTCTATTCAAACGCCGGGGGAAAGATGCTATGATACCCCGTGTCTCCATAAAAGGCAAACCTATCAAATTCGAAAAATCTGCAATATTTCTTGGGGTTATCCTTGATCAGCACCTCACTTGGCGCAAGCATATAGAATATGTGGAAAACAGATGTAAAAGACCTGAACGTATTACTGGCAATTTCAGGCACATCTTGGGGCACATCGAGGGACACTCAGCTGGACCTCTACAAAGCTCTTATCAGATCAAAAATTGACTATGGTTGTGAGGCTTTTCACTCAGCATCAAATACTGTCTTGAGGCGCCTAGACAGAATACAATACAAAGCCCTAATGCTGGCCACAGTCGCAGCAACAGGCACCTCACTAGAAGCACTACAAGTAGAAACGGGAGAACTCCCATTGAAACTAAGAAGAGAGCAGGCAATATTATCGTTCTGGGGACGAACATCAAACCCTTTGGTTAAAAAGATATGTCAAGACAAAAACGCTCGAGATGAAGCCCAAGCTCGAAAAAATCCCTCACTAAAGCCATCTGGGATATTAGTACGTGAACTCATTCGAAGTCACAATTGTGATGACATTCGGCCTCCAGAAAGTCACTACAAAGGGTTACACCCTCCCTTTACAAACTCCCAAAATTGACACTGCTTTAACATCAGAAGTCGCTAAAAAAGAAAACCCAACCCTACTACGATCAGTAGCTATCACTAAAATTCAAACTACCTGGGACAGCTGGGCCCATATATACACTGATGGATCCAAGAATCCTATCAACAACAGTGCTGGTTACGGGATCCATATCCACAGCTCCAAACCCCAAGCACATTCAGTTCGCTTGCCTGATGGTCAGTCAGTATTCACGGCTGAATTGGAGGCAATTCATCTTGCACTCAGACTCATACCGGAACTCCCGGAAGCAAAGGCAGTCGTCCTATCAGACTCGCTAAGTGCACTTCAGGCCATCAGTGGGAGAAACTCAAACTCCAGGCCAAACACAGTCAACAATATTCTATATGAATATACAAAACTATCGGACCAAGGGCAACAGGTGGAGCTGTGTTGGATCCCCTCTCACATAGATATTCATGGAAATGAAAAAGCAGACTCACTGGCTAAGCTAGCTCTAGACAAAGCGGATGTACAGCCTATTCCCTTTAGTAAACTAGAGATAAAAAGCAAAATCAAAGCCTCCATAGCAGAAAGATGGCAAGCCCAATGGGACGCAAGTAAGATCCGGCAGATGGCTATACAAAATTCAACCCAAGGTCCAACAAAAGCCAAACTCATACTCAAATGAAAGGAAAATTGAAATTGCTATCTCACGCCTCAGACTCGGTCACAAAAAGCACTATGACAAGGTTTGTTCATCTTGCAATCAGGCTGAAACCATTGACCACCTGTTACTAGAATGTCAAGACCATGCCCTAGCCCGGGCTAGGTTAAAACAAGAATTGCAGTTAGATCTGCTATCTGTAATAAATCTCCTAAAGCCAAGAGATGCAATAGCGAAGGCCAAACTAACTCTATTTCTGAGAGATGGACAGCTGCTCGAACGTATATAAACAGAGCAGCCAAGGATAAAAATGAAATCATATCAATATATGAAAATAGAAATCATATCAATGCAAAAACAGAAATTATGTGAACACCGAACTCACAATAGATATGTGAACCCTTCTCACACACAGGAGTCCCAAAGAGGGACAGGTCAGCCGAAATTGCCTAGGCAGAAGGTGACCTCTTAAACACCTAATGCAACAACAACAACAGAGCTCATTAGTTCTGTCCGAGACAATCACAATGAAAGGCGATTGCAAGAGTATCAAGTTACAGTTCAGCAAGGGCCACACTCCCTGGAACAAAGGTCTCACCCTTGAGTCTGAAGAGACAGAAAGTGCCTCTCCACCCCAGATACCCAGGACTGTCACTAGGATGAGTGCTGAAGACTTCTCACTGGTTACCAAGTCTAGGCTGGATGGCACTGGGCTGTCGACACCAGACTGTGAGGGCATCTCTACCTCTGTGAGGCTGTTGCGGCCTACTGCGGCCAGCAAGCAAAACCTGAAACAAGAGTCAAGCAAAGATGACTTGGAGGGTATGCGACTAGTCGACAATGAAAAGGTGGCCGAAGCATGGAACACAGCTCTGCGACTGCATCGTTCGACATCCACTGACTGCGACGACCCTCAGCTGCAGATAGCCAAGGAGAGAAAATGGGGAGCATGCTGGAAAGTGACACTGAAATGTGTTGTATGTGACTTCACAGCACCTGAAATGAAGTTGTATAAAGAAATCAAGACAGGCAAACCTGGACCAAACCCAGCAGCCCCTAACGTAGGACTTGCCTTGGGTCTTCAAGACACCCCTATTGGGAACACAAGAGTCAGGTTACTGATGGCGAACATGGACATTCCGCCCCCATGCAGGAGCAGTATGCAGAGGACCTCCAACAAGGTGGCTATTGCTGTTACTGAACTGAATACACAGGATATGGCTGAAAAAGTTGAATTGGTAAAGGAAGTTAATCGGAAGAGGGGTACTGAGCCATGCGAGATGAATATTGCCATGAATGGCCGATACAACTCAACGACAATAGCAAGCAGGAAGAAGCCTGGGCAGAATGCATCACAAGCAATCGGCATAGCCTGCGAAACTGTTACCGATAAGAAGTTCGTCATCGGCGCGTCATTCCAGAATAAGCTGTGCTGGACTGGTGCTTGGCTGAAAGGAAAAGGAATGGATGTGAAGTGTCCAGGGGGGCACCCAGACTGTACTGCAAACATGTCGGCCTTCACTCCGTTCTCCGAGTTCAATATGGGAGAGGACATTGGACATCAGCTTGCTCTACAGGGTGTGCTAATTAAGTATGCTACTACCGATGGGGATTCTAAGTCTGCAGATGGTATAGACAAGGCTCTGAAAGTGTTAGACCCTATGTGGAAGGTGCAGAGGCTAGCTGATCCCACCCACTTGGGTCAAGGACAGTTTCGGCAATGCTACAGAGCTGATTTCAACCCAGATATGTTCCCCGGCACTACTCGTACACAGAAATTGGAGGCTAAGAAGGTGCTAAGTCAGGATGTAAAGGCACGGTGCAGCCTGATACTGAAAGAACTCATGAAGGATCATGCAGGCGACATGAAAGCACTTCGTAGTATCTTACCTAGAGTGCTCGAAGCAACCCTCAAGTGCTACAGCGGCGACTGCTCCAGGTGTGCCCGGTACTCTGTTGTGTGTCGAGGCGGTGTAACAAACAGCTGGTGGCAGCGGTCCATGTTCCTCGGCTGCAACAAAATCACTCATTTCAATATGGATGACAATGATAAACACTTGATGAATGAAATTCTCAAGATGAAGCTGAGTGTCGAAGTTGTCGAACAAATGAAACTGTACACAGACACACAGAAATGTGAAGCCGTGAACCGATCAATGAGTATTTCTTTGCCAAAGAACGTGAACTTTTCAAGAAATATGATTGGGAGGGCTTCATCGACTATTCATAGGCTCAACAATGGCCCCGGGACATCAGCAATCGACAAGTGCCATAACTCTGGTGTTGAACTATCAAGTCGAGCAGTACGGTCACTGGAACAAATGGACAAGGAAGCTGCCTATCACAAGGAATACCAGAAAAGTCCCAGTGTTGTGAAAAGAAAGCTTGTGCAGCATGGGAGCAAAATTAGTGAACATTTAAAGTCAAAACTGAGTGACAAACAGAGGGGGGACTACAAAAAGGGTCAACTTGACCCTGTGCCATGTTTTAGTAAACAAGCTGACCATTCATATTCAAAGAAATGAACATGTGCAGTAATACTGTAGCTAATGACTAGCTTATGACTGACTTTGTGTAAAAAAATGAGTTGAAATAGGTAACAGTTGCTGTACAGCTATGTTTTTTGTATATGCAATGCTACAATCAGCTGTCACTGTGATGAACATCAGTTAATGAATAAAATCTTAATCATTTACTTTGCTTGTTGTTGTCTCCTTTCACAGCTTCAAAGCCAAAAGGCAATCTGCATATGGCGCATGGCCTTTGCATGCACCCCTGTTCACACAGGCTACTCTGTCTGCATTTATACTATGCGGCTCAGCAGACAGATGTTCGACATAGGTGCATTTGGAGTTATGGCACAAATGGCTGATGTCCAAATCACCTATGTCGAAATCTTCCCTATGCACAATGTAACTAAGTCTATGGGCATGTACGTATACGGTGCGCCACTTGTTGGTTATGGGGCAATAGTACCTCAAAACCCCATATCCACTGGGCTTACATGCCCTAGACCAGATTTGACATGGGCCGTTTTGACATGTCCCATGTTGGTCAATTTTGGCTGAATGCCGAGCAAATATCTCTCTGTATTTCTTAAAAAAGGCTTCGATGTTGGCCATATTAATAGTGTCCAAGTGCAAACGAGGCACGACAGGTGTAGTGATACATGATTCTACCATATTGGAACTCATATGACTTATTATGATGCTGGCATTCACTCATTTCAACAACATGCATAAAATCGCACGTTCGAAAAAGTACACAAAATCATTCAAAAAAATATATAAATATTTCAACCTGAAAACACATGTACACAGATTTCAACACTTACTGTGAATATATGTGCCAAGTTTCAAGTCAATTTCTTGCATAATAATAGAGATATAGTGAATCAAACATATGCACTAGCCTCACCATATCAGGCCTCAGACCACAATTAATTTCCTTCTTTGCTATCTACAGTGACATGACAGCCCACCATAATTATTATCAGTCGTAGGCTGTTCTCCTGTTGCATGCTGACCAACCTGCCACTTGTCACTTAAACCGCCAGTTACAGCCTTTCAGCACCCAACTCGGCTTCACACTTTATGTTCTAAACATTACATTCCTCTGCCACATACAATTATGGATAAGGGGTCATGTGGCCCTCTGCCTCTCAGCTGGGGACTGCGGACAATTCTCAGGTCCAAGGCAGCATAACATATTAAAACAATGGAAATATAACAAAGCAGATCTCACTTCTAAATTATATATATCTATCTATATATATATCTATCTATATATATATATATATATATATCAATATATGATGGCTATAGTGGCATGATCTCGTGTCAGGTCAAGTCAGAGCCAAATATCACAAAATCATACAAATACATTTAGAAGCTGACTACAAACAACTTGTGTACCATATCGCAGTTCATTAGTGGTGACTATGTGTTATTGATGCATATTGTACATATGGCTGCTACTGAACATCGCAGGACAACAGGTCTGTGGGCTACAAATTTGATAATAATGAAACAGTTACTGCATAATAAGAATATATCCAGTCAACGTGCATATCCTAATCAAATGACTTATATACATTAATCACGAAATAACGTTCCTTGTAACCATGTCCGTTTATAGAATAGTTACATTCACTATATATACAATAACAAAAAAGGTATTTACAAAACGTAAGGTATACAAATTCAAGTGGACCCCCTATTCCCGGGGAACAGTACATTGCAAATCAGCCAGATCCCGAGGGTGACAATCGAATGGAGGAGGCACATGCCCCTACTGTTTTATCAAACCCTGTGTAGCCACCATCAACGGAACAGCCAGATGGATGGGACTAAGGGTGAAACGATACACCGATATTCCGATGCATCGCGATACTTGACCCACGATACCATATACGATAAACGTGGGCCCATTTATCGATACGCCACGATACGGAATGCAAATCTCAAGTACAGCGTTTCCTCGGTATTGTGCCTTTCAATAAACCGCTAACTTGGTTAAAGCGCGTGCTAACGCATGGCTCACAAAAACGTACTTACATTTTTAATAAGCTCAGGTTTTACACCAACAGATGTTTTTCCCCATCTCATAAAACATTATCAGCTGATCACCCCAAGCACATAACACCGAAAATACCAGTCAGCAAATCCGAACTGAAGTACGCAATTCAATACCATTATTATACTATCTTGTTATTAAAACGTGTTCATTGTATATCTGGACTTGTGTTTGTAATATATTTTATTAATTTTATTCAAAATTTCATTTAATATTGTTTTCATTAAGTTATGTGAAATTGTGTTGCTAGAGAATATCAAAAATGCCATACTTTGACTCGTTAAAAGTAATATTTGTGGCAATTTGGCTAATATATGTCAACATAATGTTATCGAAATCGAAATACATGTAGCACGGGAAGTCCCTAGGGTGACTGGTCAAATTGTTCCATACGTTAAAATATCCTGCAACAGCAATCACCAGTACCAAAATGCTACACTTGTGGTTCTTATAATTATATATATAATTATATAGTAAAAGCTGCAACTAAGGTAACACGATATTGGAATAAATTATTCCTGATAAAACAATAATTTCAGATACAATTTCTTCGACCATTGCATCAAAATTCTTTGAAGTTGTATCACTGGTGGAGTACATTAATTATTTTCTGGTGTTTGAACTTTGAATTGTTTTGAAGGAAAGTTGAACAACTTCAGTAGTCTTGTTATTATAAAATAATTTTGACTGTTCCAAAATCATGAAAGGTTCAATCTTTACATGCTTTTTAGTCTTGTTTTTTTTTTTTATCATTGCGTATCGTGACCAGAATATCGAGATGCGTATCGTATCGTGACCTTCCTGTATCGTTGCAGCCCAAGATGGGACATGCGCTCCCTCCAAGCCCTAATTACTGCACCATCAGAAGAGCTCTCTACTATAAATTTTTGAAAATAATTGACAACTGTAACGGGTGGTAAATACCAGAATATGTTCAAAAGAAGATCAGACTGGGTGATGGGGAGCATGTTGTCTTCCATCACAGACACTTGTGCAAACAAAATACCCAAATGGGATAAATGAGCCATATATGGGACACAAGTGGTGGCGAACTGACTTTGTTATTTTTCTCTTTGTATATATATATTATCATTGATATTCTTTTAGACTAACATTTAGTCTCTGAAATCTTATATTACACAATATCCTTCTTGACTCTAAAAATAATAAAAAATCCCTATGCTGATTTCAGAATAGAGCTAGCTTGAGCTGGCTAGACTTGCTTTTGCATGCATTTCTAGATTATTATTTTTTCATAAAATAAATATATTCCACGGTCATGATGCAGGACTAATATTCTTTCAAAAACTACAATTAATTTCTTTGGGGAAAATCAAAATTTTGTAAAGCATAACACAGTAATGAAACTCTTGGCATCATGTAACTGACTATGGCAATACAGTATCCTTATCAGACAAGTGATTGTGTTTTGATTACATAAAGAGTGTAATTGCTCCTAAGAGGTCAAATGTGTGACTTGTGCTGTGTCTCAAAGTTGACAGGCCTTCCGTTCCCTCCTGGAGGAAAAAGTGGCGGTTTAAAACGCAAAGTTTCGGCCATCATCCACCGGCTTGCTTTCGCAGTAACCACTGTCAACAATGCTCACCGGAAGTTTCGAGCCGAAACACACACAGCGGCCTTCAACTTGGGGTCAAATCATGGGAAGCTGGAATCAATACCTTCACAGATTAGGGCTTACAAAAAATTGACAGCAAACTACAATGTCTTATCTTTCATTTAAGCTATCACAAGTCACTCCAAAAAAATTGCCACAGGCTGAACAGCCCATTTCAACAGGGTACTATATTCTCCTATTTTCTTTCCGGTTCTTACTTAGAGCGGGGATAACTGTGGTCTGAGGCCACATCCATTCTCATTTATGGAAAATATAATGACACAAGTTTTTAACCTGATATATCATTTTAAAAAACTGAACAGATAATGATAATATGTTTCTGAGGACCAGTAAAAAGTAAAAAAACACACAATGATAATCATAAATGGACATGCATCACTCACGGGAGTATGTTGACTGGCGTGCAGCTGTAGTGCACCAAAACGAAGACATCACTGTATAACAGTATACCTTAATCTATGTTCTATTGTCTTAGATGAAGAATGTGTTGATCTGAATTGTGTTCACACCGAACCAGACAGTCTCCCAGCCAGACTTCACAGTGTTATAGACACGATGAACTCGTCGAACGTAGAAACATTGAACAGAGTATTCCAGCAATATTCCAGCTATATGACGATGGTCTGTAAATAATCGAGTCTGGACCAGACAATCCAGTAATTAATGTCATGAGCATCGATCCATGCAATTGGGATCGATGACATCCATCAACCAAGTCAGCGAACCTGACCACCCGATCCCGTTAGTCGCCTTTTACGACAAGCATATAGTCACCTTTAACGGCAAGCATGGGTTGCTGAAGACCTATTCTACCCCGGAATCTTCACGGTCCCTGGGCCGATAAGGCAAACGTACCCGATGTTTAGTGATAAGAACCTACCACCCGGTTGTTACGATATGTGCCTAGGCTTGTTGAGGGCAGGGGATCGTTTCATAATCTGTCAACCTCAGACGTTGCACATATATGATTTTAGGTGTCACTGTTCTCGCTATGTTGTCAATTTAATGAAATCATTCATTTGAGACTACACATTTATCTGTCAATACTAGA